ATGCCAGAAATACGGAGTGAAAGGGAACAAGGATCCATGCCAGCCACTGCCAACCGCGTGCCAGCGCGGGCTGCGTCTTGTCTGCGGATGAACAAAAAGCAACGGTTTCGTGGACGCAGGAGACGGAGCAGAGGGCCCCAAGGGATGGCCGTCAACGGGCAGTGTGCAGGCCAAATGAGGCACCGGGCGAATTCACACTGCAGATGTGTTCTGTGCATACCAGGCGACGTCAGCCTGCAAAAGGCTTAGCCTCTGTGTGTGTGTGCGCGCGTGTGTATTTAAATTAGTTACTAACATTTAAATATTGGGAGCTTTTACCTAAACGCATGCATTACGGATTTGCAGCGGGACGAGCTGGCAAGCCTGGACTGAGGACAAACAGCTGTCCCTTTTCGATGGCATTCACTCTCTAGCTCTGCCAGTCCTGAGGGTCGAATGCCACCTGCCACTTGCCACAGTGTTGGCCCTATTACTTTCTAATAGTAGAGAGGCGCTTCTCTCGACTCTGTCTCCATCCAAAGCGACTCAGAGCTATGCCTCCCCCTGGGATCGCCTTCCTGGCATATTCAGAGCACCAGCAGTTCCATCCCAGGCCACGAGAACACCTGCTTGGTGAAAGATCTGATCTACAACACGATGCCGGTTTTATCTGACGCAGTTCATCAAAGAAAGACCGTTCATTCAGACCGCACGTTGTATTTTTATAATACTTGAGAGATACCCCATCCTGGGATATCTATAATCTCAGCACCATCTTCAGCTAGTAATACCATTCCCATTTTACAGATGGGCACACCAAGGCTTTAGGTAAAGTTGCATCGTTAGCAGGCCTGACAAACATATTAAACCTGAATCTCATGGGCTAAGACCTTCCTTAACGGTTAGTAAATGAATCTAATGTGCAGCCATGTTTGAGATCCTGTCTTACGGACTGAATATCTGTGTTTGTCCACGATTCATATGTTGAAGCCCTAACTCAAGAGGAGGTGGAGCCTTGGGGAGGTAAACAGGTTTAAATGAGGTCATGAAAGTAGGGTCATCATGATGGTATTGGCGCCCTCATAACAAGAGACCAGAGAGCTTCCTCTCTCTCTCTCTCTCCCTCCCCCTTTCTCACTCTCTCCCTCTTCTCATACCCTCTGGCACCCCCTCCCAACTTCCCCTCCTATCAGCATGTGCGGACACAGCTAGAAGGCAGCAGTCTGTAGGACACGGAAGAGGTTCTCGGTGAGAACCCAACCATGCTGGCGCCCAGATCTCAGACTTCCAGCCTCTAGAACTGTGAAAAATAATGTCTATTTTTCAAACCACCCAGTTTATGATATTTTGTTATAGCAGCACTACCTGACCGATACATGTAGATTGCAAATTCTTCTTGCCACCACCTCTCCGATTAAAGCCATGCAAATAGAAATGTCTTGGCTCAAGGTACAGGGCAGGCTGAATGGACACAGGAGGAGGGACAGGAATGGGAATTGCCCTGGGCTAGGCCTAGGGGATTGGACTTCTGGTCCTGGGTTTAGCCATCAAAGCCTCATTGAGTTATAAGGGACATCTGATTAGAATGAGTGCTTGTTCACGTGGGTGGATGTACAAGAATCCCCAGGTGGTGCTTTCAACTCTACACATTTCCTTTGGTTTTACCCCTAATCTGGGATCACAGATTCTGATTTCTTGGATGGCACCCAAATATACAAATATATATATATATATATTTGTGTGTGTGTGTGTGTGTATATATATATATATTTAAATCTTCACCCAAGGATATTTTTTCCATATATCTTTAGATAGAGTGGGGAGGAGGGAGAGAGAGAGAGAAACATTGATGTGAGAGAGACACATTGATTGGCGGCCTCCCATACGACCCCGGCTAGTAGATATGCAACCGAAGTACATGCCCTTGCCCGGAATCAAACCCGAGACTCTTCAGTCCGAGGGCTGATGCTCCAACCACTGAGCCAAACCAGCCAGGGCAATATGCACATTTTTAAAAAGCTCCTTCCGTGATCCTGGTACACACTCCCAGTTGAGAATCAAGAGCATGAGATGATAGAGACCTTCCAGAACTCACAATCTATTAGAAACAAGAAGGAAAAATTGCCCAATGTACCCCTTGCATGAACAGGTACAATTACAGTAAGGAGAGGTTATGCCAAACACACACACACACACACACACACACACACACACACACACATACCTGTTGTTCAAAGTGAGTTCCCATTAGAGAGTTACATTGGATTTGATGTAGAAATTGATCACCTTGTGATATTTATTCCACTCAAAGAAGGAAGGGACTTGTCAACACAATCAAGTGCTCATTCAGGTGGCCTAATTCTGCTCAGTGGCAGGGACCCCAAGGGAGCCCTTCTCTGTGGGGACATATGGCTATATCTAAAGGGAAGCACTTTGGGATGAATAGTTCTTCACTGGCCCTTTTTGGATAATGTGACATTTTTAACCATGGTCTCTGAGAGTCACAGTGTGCCCGACATTGGATGTTTGTTTGGTCTTCATATCCTTATACCCAGTGTATAGACAAAAGCTGATTCATACGAGGTTCTTAATACTGAGTGATGGATGAATAGTAAAAAGAGAGGGAGAGAGAATTGAAACTGACAACTGCTGTTTTCACACTTCAGGTTACCAAAGTGGTCTCTGAAAAGTAAAAATGAACCTAGGATCATTCATTCATTCCATTCTCCTGTTTAACATCCCTGAGATTCCCAGGCCTACAGTGCAAAGGGGAAGGTGCCCTGCATTCTTCAGGAGCACGGGCATAGTCTGGCCTGGAAACATCTTTGTGTTCATCTCTCACGGCACTGACAGGGTTGGTCTTGTCATTAATGGCAGGTCCAGGAACACATCTGATTGCATGTCTCCAAGCCTTGAAGCCAACTGCTCCCCTCTGCCTGGGGCACCATCTTCTTGTTCTCCTCCAATAGCTTTCAAGGTTTAGCTCCACGAAATCTTCCTAAACCTGTACAAGAGACTGAATCATTCTGTTTCTTTTTGCATCATCCATGGATTTCATTCATGGTGCCTTTATCACTTTGTGCCACTTAATAGCTGTGCATTTTGTCTGTGAAGGACCAGAAGCTTGGTCTGAGGTTTCTTGTAGCCCTGGCATGGGCCAAAAGACCCGGGTCATTGCAAGTGCTCACCGAAAGCAGTGTGATTGAACACACTGACACATTTCATCGCCACCCTGGTGCCCCAGCTATAGGCACATGCTCACGAGGACCTAGTCTTCACAGGTAGGCAAAAGAGGAAGGGATTTTGGAAGGAGAAACCATATAGAAATCCAAATCCAACATAAGAATTTATTTATAGACATGGAGACCTACTGGAGACTTAGATCACAAGAAAGCTACCCCAAAAGATTAATAGTGATTAAACCACTTAAAGCAAAGTCTCATGATGACGGTCCAAAACAATATTGATTTTCAATATCAATTTGTAATACAAAGGAGGAGATTGAGACAAATGCCCGCCGTCCCATGTTGTCAATAAAATGGTAATTCACTGATTATTAACTATTCAATTGGAGCTTTAAGGCTCAAAGTTAAGGCTGGACTTATTGACTTATTTTACCTGCTGTAGTTTTAGTTACAGAGTCTGGGTTCCCCTTCTACCATTTTGGGCAAATATTTCTTGAGCTCCTACTGTGTGCCAGACCTGATCTTAGTAGTAAACAGGATTGACAGGCCTTGCTCTCATGTTTCATGTTTGTCTTTTCCTTTTACTATCATCGTACCATTTTTAGTCTTTTCAAACGTGGTGTTCTAAGAAAATCGCAAACCAGCTAGTATTATTTTATTTCACCCTAATCAGGACTCCGAGTCATGAAAATGGAGGCATTCGTATCCCCGCCCCGAAACACACGCCATGTGTTACGTGAAACCCCAGATCGACGAAAGGAGGTACTTAATAGAAAATAAAGCACTTCTATATAATTTATCTTTCATTTCACGCTGGGAAGATTCTGATCCCTCTGCTAGCTTTTCCTGACAAGTGTTCTGTCTTTAGCAAGGTTTGGGGTCCAGATTCCTCCTGCTCCCCTGACATCACCACGGATGTGGAAGAGACCATAGTGTAAGTTCCAATGGTGTAAGTTCAACTTCTGCATTCTCCGTGATTGAACTGATGTTATGGTCTTAAGGAATACTTTTAAGTATCCTGCAAGTATTTCTTAACTGAAACTTTTTTTTTTTTTTTTGAGCTATGACATCTGAAAGCCAACATGAACTTCCTCCCCAAAATAGATGACATTAAACAAGGCAAGGATACACCGCTGGTCTAAGTTTCACGGATCAAACCTGAAATCATATCATCTCACAATACCTAATGGAATTGAAGAAGCCATATAGTCTATTACTTCATTACTAACCCATAACATGGGGGGGATGACATTCTAGGTGGCTGAGCTTGTAGTGATACTTAAGTTTCTACAACCTTCTCTCACACCAGACTTCCTCTTCTTGATGTGGATGTAGCCTAACGGGGCTCCTTGTGATCTACGTCTGAGAATCCAAGACCTCAGAGTCATACCCTTCTCAGGATCCTTGGCCTTGGTGTTCCTTGGAAGCTCTACCATAATTCTCACTATCACAGCCTCCCTCTGTCACCCAAGGCCCCGTTCAAATAATCCTGTTTTATTTTTTCTGTAAATCCTCACCTGAGGATATTTTTCCATTTATCTTCAGATAGAGTAGGAGGAAGGGAAGAAGGGGGAGAGAGAGGGAGAGACAGAGAAAGAGAGAGAGAGAGAGAGAGAGAGAGAGAGAGAGAGAAACATCGATGTGCGAGAGCTACATCGACTGGTTGCCTCCTGCATGACCCCAACCAGGGCCTGGTACTGAACCACAACTGAGGTACGTGCCCCCAATTCTTTGGTCCACAGGCCAAACTGCTGAGCCAAACCGGCCAGGGCACACGTCCCTGTTTTTAAGAGGGCTTCCTTCCATGACTATCATCTTGAAAGGAGCCCTCCTCACGACTCATTACTAGCATCTTGCTCTGTATTTATTTAGCTTATAGCCTTTGTCTCTACGGAGTTTTCTTATGTCCCTTGTTCTGTATTTACTTCCTGCCTCCTTCCAGGCCCTGCCGCCTGAAGGAATGTAAGTTCCATTTATTGAGGTGTCTTTGGCTGTCTTGTTCTCTAGCTATCCCTTTGGCATCATCGGACTCAAGGAAAGCGTGTACTCAATTCCTGGCAATGGAAAGAACATATGAAAACTCGTGAGTTTAAACGCATTCACGAGGAGGCGGCTCCCTCTTCAACGGACTGGAGCAAATCATCTAAAATAGTCTCTGCAACTTAGACTTTTCCCACCCCTCCCCCAAGCATCGGTGACCCAAACCAGGACCCACAACACTCAGTCTTCAGCAGAAATTGACGGAGAAATGTTTGCTCTCTGCTCTGCTCCCATCAATAACGGGACACACAGATGGCGAGGCAGCACGGAGGCGCGAACCCCCGCTGGCGGGCGTGACGCTCACCTGCAGACGGTGGGCGCTGCGCTCGCCATGAGGCCGGGAGTCAAAGGTCCTGGATGTCAACGGGAAAGGACAAGGAGCCGAAAGTGGTTTGACTCACTGTTCCTTCTTTAGCGAGAAGTACAGTGAGAAACACGAAGCTGCTGAGGAATGGAGAAGCCCCAAACACTCGACTGTTCTTGATTCCACAACACTGCAGGGACAGGGGTCTGGAGAGTCATAGCGGCGGGAGGAAACAGCTGATGGGACTTGAATGCGTGTCGTTGGATTCGTGGCCAAAGGATGCCCGTGGTTCCTGGACGCAAAGGCTTCCTTCCCTGGGTGGGCCGAGTTCTGTAAGTACCCCCTTTCTCTCCCTTCCTCCCCTGCCCCTTCCTTGCTATTTCCTTCTCCTCCCTTCGCACCCTCCCTTCACCCCAGCCCCTCCCTCTCATTCAAGCCCATCATCAGTCTCTCTGTACACGCACACTAGGAACCGAGAATGAGAAATGGGTGATGGTGGAATGATACTGAACACGTCCCCGGATGAAAATAGGTCTTCGGTTTTGACTAAGCAGCAGCACAAGCTAAAGAAGAAGATTTATGGTAATATATCACATTAATCAACTCAATTAATGTACAATCTCGGTAAGTCACCGAGCAACAGTAACAAATAAAACATTGGACTTAGGAAAAGAGTCTTCATTAGATTTGGGATTCAAGATATAAATAAAGATTAATTTGTAATCTGATCAGACACTAAGATCAAGAACGTTAGTTCATTATTTCTTATCATATATGCAAAAACAGAGCTATTCTCTTGGCTTTCGACAAGGTTCCTTTTAGCTCATGGAGTAAATGACAAATTAAACTTATATACACCTTGTCCTGTTCTCATGCCATAATAAGTGCCATTTTCAAGTGTTAAAAATAGATGCAAGGAATAATGTGATATATTTTGGACCATCACTGTCCAGGATGGAAGTCAGTTCCCCATGTGGAAATTGATTAAAATTTAAGAAAATGAAAAGGTCAACTCCTCAGTCACGCTACCCACGTTTCACGCTTCCAAGAGTTACATGCAGCTAGTCCCTGCATATTGAAAAAAATGCAGATATAGAATATGTCTACTATAATGGAAAGTTTTACTGAATACTCTCTCATGGCAAACATTTATTAGGCAAAAAGGTGAGGAACGAGTTACAAGTACCAGGTGAATGATCTGGTTTTTTTCATATTTTTCCGTTAGTAAGACATCCTAGTACAATTCCTTAACAACGTCTTCCTCCCCAAATAGACCAGCGACTTCACACGTTTGTCCTGCCTGGCTCTCGCTGCAACCTCCGAGTTGTTACAGAGGCTCTGGCCAAAGCTGGCCATGAAACATCTGTGTCGAGTGGCTGAACGACAGAACGAACGTCAGATGCAATGCCAACTGATCACATCCGTGTCTATCTACAGACACGCAGAAAGAGAGGGGATGCCATTCTGTCACATATAAATATAAGCGCATGTCTAGTTTCCTCATTGTTTTATCTGCCTTTGCAGAACCCAGAAATCAATTCCACCCTTAACATATGGGGATCTTCTTGCCTAAATGAGCAAATGAATCCGAACCATATCAGCTGAAGAAAACTGTGAAATTAATTGTGTTGACATCTACTTGGGCAGAAAACAGTTAACCCAGCATGACAGGGTTATGATAGTGACTGAAACTCCTCTGAGGCCCTTGAGAAAGAGTTGTTTTCATCTCATTATGTCTGCCTTGATAATTATAAGCAACTCATCAGCCTTGAGTTGAACACCACATATAATCACTTTCCTGCATATTTTTGAAGGAGGAAGCATAATAAGAGAAAAATCTGCAGACTAATTTATGACATTTGTAGGTCTATTTTCAGGAAAAGAAAAACTACTATACAGTGGGGAATATTAAAATTCGCTTTAAAACGGTGTAGATTTATTTTAGAATGGTGCTTAAAATGGAAAAAGAGAAAACCTCCCTTGTATAGCAACAGTTACCACACACTTGTCCTGTTCACGTAAAAACTCTCCCACTTGCTGCCCAAAAACAATCTTCTTCTTTAATTTTAAGAACATATTACTAAGAGAAAGAAAAAAATCCAATAGCTGGTTACGTGCATAGATTAAAACACTAACTACAGGAACCTACCACGAGAGAGTCCATACAAGGAGAAAATTACCGGCAGAGACTGGAGTCTAACATCCTGGCGCATTAAGATAACCTTGAGGGGTGTTTCTCTGGATTCCGTAGACAGTTGTGCCCCCTTATGTGTGAGACATGCGTCCCGAGACCCCCACGGATGCCTGCAACCACAGATAGGACCGAAACCTACACACACTTTGTTTTCTCCCCTTACATACAACCTGTGATGAAGTTTAATTTATAAAGCAGGTGCAGCAAGAGATCAACACCAATAACTCATTGTAACAATTTCAGAACAATGACAACGGTGTACTGCAATAAAAGTCACGTGAACGTTCTCCCCGCTCCCTACCTTACGGTACTATCTGTACCACGTCACGCTGGACAAAGGGATGATTGACGTCTGGGGCGAGATCCCATTCCACTACTCAGAATGACACACCATTTAGGACGCATGGGTTGTTTTCCTGGAATTTTCCATTCAGTATCGTCGGAGCAAAGTTGAGTGGGGGTCATTGAAACTGGGAAGTGAAACCCGCAGCTGGGGGGCCACGCCATCTGTGCACGGACGTGAACTAGCGGAGCCTCAGGGCTGTTCTCAGGGACCTCCCTGAGCTTCTGGACTCGCGTGTCACCTGCCGGGTCACAGGAGGACAGTCCACTATCAAAAAATGAACAGTTTAAGGAAATCACTGAATCTCTGTGCTAAACACAAAACAAAATCAATCAAACAAATAAAATAAACGCCAACAAAATCTTCTGTCTGCATCTATTGTGCGTCTTAACAGCTAAAACTGGCGTTAGAGAAGACCGAGAGCAACGTGGTATGTGTCCCTACCCAGAGGGGGTTGAAACAGGGCGCAGGTTTCACGCTTTGTGTGTTTGTGGGGGGCACTAAACCATCCCTGCCGGTGGAGGCAGCAGCAGCAGAAGGGTCTGTGGTCTCTGTCTCCCTGGGAAACAGTAGGTGGATGTGGCCTTGTAACAACCAATTAAAATGTCCACATGCAAGTTGGGAATCCACATTTGTGTCAAATGAAAGGGCATTGTTCACCCTTGACAATTCGCTGCCCCAACAGGACACACACGCACACAGCACACCCCAAGCCCTTCCTTGCGCTGTGTGTCACTTCCCACTCTAAAGGCACAAGGCGAGGTCACGCACACCCAAACACGCGAGGAGTCACCCCCTTCCACTCGCCCCGGTCCCTCCTCTCCATCGCGTGTCCTCGCGGATTTGCTTCCACGTTTGTTTATTCCCCGTGTTCTCGTCATAGCTCTAAAGAAATGCCTACAAAAAATGCCAACTGTCTTCCGAAGTGAAACAAAACCTTTTCATTTTCGAGGCTTTTCCTGGAGAACGCAGTTACTCCAACGAAGCTCAAAAGAACTCTCGACGTAAGAACTTTTCCTGATTAGGAGGAGGGGTGATTGACTAGAGTTGGGATGATGCTTGTCTCACTTAATTTTCAGTTCAAGGAAATCACCTCTCTTCCCCTTTACTCTGATAACTGCCAGCATTTACACATACCCTCCAGTGCTTCCGACATGATAAATACTCTGACAATCCTACCTCCAACTCGAAGTGTAACAAATGCTGGTGACTCAGGAAAGAGAATGGTGTTTGTAGGAAGGTTGTGATCAAACACACTTTTAGGCTCACAGAAGTGTTCTGAATTGTCATAAACACCCTCCACATAATGTTCACCACGCTTTTTCGTCTTCCAACATGGGAGGACCCACTGGTAAAGTGCAGTAATATCCTTTCTCTCTAGACACCATGTGCTACCCATATTTACCCAAGCTGGCAAAACGTAGAAAGATGATTCTCCTTCGAGCCTTTTTTTAAATTACCAAAATTCAAGTTGCTTTTAAAATACCACCATCTCCTTTGAGATTTCGAGAGAGCTGGAGATCACCATGGCAATAAGAAAATGGTGCCAGCATCATCTTGGCATCTACTCATTACACATCTCGGGGGACTTCCACACGGGAGAAAATTGAACTCGTGCAAAAAGCAGGCGCTCTCCTTCCAACCCTTTATTTTGGGAATGCAATGACAAATTTCATGCTACAGAAGGTAAATAAGAAATTGTTGAAACCGTACGCCTTTCCTCTAACATACACAATTAAAACGCAGTATCAGTCTGCTCTCCGGGCATGAGATGTAAACGTGGAAAGTTTCCAGACAGGACCCCGGACGATGCCCGTGTGCCTGTTCTAATTCACTCCTCACGCTGTACCGATACCCATGGAGCAGCCTCTCTGACTGCAAGGGGGCTCCTGCATCTCAACCCACGGCACGTGGGTGCCTGCCGGCTTGTTGCACCTTGTCATTCAAAGTTCGCTTCATTCTTTCAGTCAACATTTC